AAGTCCAAACTCTAATAAAAAAAACAACATAAAATTATATAATTATACAAGCTGTTAAATTAAACTGAAAATATTTAATAAATTTTAAATTAAATTTAAAACTGAAATAAATAATACTCGCAAAATTCCTTTAAAGTTTAAGCCACTAGATCACATACAGTTTGAGATTTTGAACAAAAAGAAAAAGGGGAAACATAAAAAGAGTGAGACTCATCACGTTAAAGCACAAAAAAGGTAATCCGCAAACTGTGATGCAGTTTTGTTAGACCCCACGACAGATAGATTTCTGAGGCTGCTTTGGCTGCGTTTGTATTTTGTAGAAACGATAAACCCCTAATCGGTGCAGTGTTACAATAATAGTATTTATGGGTTATAATTTATTATTAATTTAGCTTTCAAAACTTATATATATGCAAAATATTTGTATAAAAATATTTTTATTTTGTCCTGTGTTAATGAACCCGTAATGTGAACCAGTTACCAACCAACAAACACTCCCAATGTAGGAATTTAATGTTTAGGTACACATCTAATCTATACACTAATTCACTAGCTAACTCAAATACTGATTTGAGTGCTTTGCAAGTATATTTGTCATCTGTTTCCTGAAGAACTTGAAAAAGCATTCAGCTACAACTTAAAAAGGAAGATTCACCAATTACAAAGTAACTGGTCCAAAAATCATGAATTAGACCTTATTAATTATGTGTGACAGCTCAAAACTTGATCAGCTGATCATTACTATCAAAACTATATACAGAATATTATGATGAAAGATTACAATGTTTCAGAAATAAGTACTAAATTAAGATCGGCACTGGTTCCTTTGCATTCTTCAGGTGTTGAGATTCTAAAATATGTGCTTGGTTAAATTTTGTTGAGATATATAAACTCTACATTAGTTATATGTGCTTGAAGGGGTGAACAACATACAAGCCCACCTATATGTGGGAGGCGGTGAGATTTCGAAGGTTCTGATATTATGTTAAGAACCTTGAGGTCACCATCCCAAAAGCTAGCTCAAAGGGTGAGAGTGCCCAATGCCTTATAAACTCCACATTAGTTGCACATACAACCAATATGAGATTATATATCTCAACAAATTTTATCTTCTTTTTAAAGTCAATTTTTTTATTTATTTATAATATTGAGATTGGTGTGTAGTCTGTGTCTTTAAATGCTCTTTTTTTCATACCAAAAAAAAAAAATGCTTTTTTTTTTATAACTTTAATTATATGATCTCACGTTGTACGACCTTGCCTGCAACTTGATCATCCATTTGCATGTCTATCTCGGAGCAGTTAGGCAATTCGAACCTTCTTGTTCCTGGAAATTACAAAACAGCCATCAAGTTTGGCATAAACAAGAATGGAGTACCAAGAAGCATAAGGTCAATAATACCCTTCAACCTTTGAAATAATCCCCGACTGATAAAGATTGGCACACTAAATATGGGTGGATTGGTGGGGGGTCGATTAAATTAATTGGCGTTCAAGTCCTCTTAAGGCCTATTATTCGTAAATTATCTGTGAATATATTTCTATAAATAGTAATATATATAGTCTTAGAACCTGCATGATATTTACTTTGATTGTGATATTTTTACACACAAAAAAACAATTATATAAAACTTGGATTTGAGCAATACACACTATATACACTCTTATACAATATTCATTCATTAATGAAAATTTAAGATTCCACCTAATAGCAAATAAAATAAGAATTATTTAAATTAATAGAACTTGTTGGATCCAAAATATTGAATTACTTAACTAATTTCAAGTAGCATTGGAAGTTTAGTATTTTAAGAAATATTTTCTTCCTGTTTATTATTCTTGTAAATATCACAATGTAATTATAATTCTTTCATGTATACATTATTTTTAAGTATTTTAGTGAAATTCACTCATGCAATTTCACAAATCCTGTAAGTCTCTTATTTATTTTTATTTTTTTATGGTGGTATAGAGCGAATTTGAATATGTTTTTACTTCTAGTTCTAAATCCTCCATTCTGGTCTAGCCAAAGGGAGGCTTTTGTTCAAATTTCCACCAACCATACCCAAATAGCTAATATATTAAGGGGTTTGCATTTGTCATTTAACATGACACAACAAACTTTCTTACACACACAACATTTTGTGGGACCTACACTTTTTGAAGAAAAAAAAATTACAGCACGCAAAACGAATCTTTATAACATTACACAATCACTTTTCCTACAACATAACTCTTATAAAACCCATATATTAATTTGATTATTTAAAAACATGGGATTAACATTTCTTCTATAATAGGAGATAAAGTTGCCTCCTATAATCATAAAACAACGTAATTTGAAGGGGTGTATGATAACCATCTGATAATTATTATTTTTTTAATTTTTGTTCCTGGGAACAGAAACGGATAAAAACAGCGCTTGGTAAAATTGATTTATTTTTTTATTTTCAGGATGAACTAGTTTAATTTTTGTGTTAGGGAATAAAAAAAGGAAACAATTTTTTTTTGCTTCTCTGTTCTACGACACAAAATAATAATCACTTTTCTGTTATTCTTTTTTTCATTCGCCACTCTCAATCCTTTCTCTTAAAAATATACTGAAACAAAATTAAAATACAAAATTTAATTATTATTTTTTAGAAACCCAAATCCCTTCTCCTTTCATCTTCTTCCATCGACCAACAACCCCTATTGTCCTTCACCTCCAACAACCACAGACCTCCATAACCACCATAGAAGCCAGCTATTAACTTCCACATTCATCGGCGAACCACATATCCACCACCATGCCTAACCAAACCACTACTGACAAATCCCATTTCATTCGAATATCATTGTTCCACCTTTCATTGAAACCCTAAATATCATCTTCTCCGCCACAAACCTCCACGGTCACCACCGATTTTGTTCGACCAAATCCCACTAAAACCCCAACCCTTCGACCACTGGCTTCCACCACCACTGAATTTACAAAACACAAACCACTGACCCATAAGCAAGTCTCTCATAACCAACCTAGCCATCTCCTCTCTCCTTCCACCAAAGTCATCATTGCCTTCCTCCATCATCCCTTCATTAACCCCCTTGACCAAGCACCATCGTTTGCAAGCCACAACATCTCACCAGCCATTCATCTCTTTCTGTCTCTCTCGTCCATCGATGCTGACAACCATATTTAAGCACCTCAGTTGTATTATGTTATCAAACGTAATTCTGATTCTCAGAATAAAAAAATATGTGTTAACAAATGTAATTCTGATTCTCAAAACTCTTCCAAGGCACAAAATAAAAAAAAAACTATTTCATCTCAGAATTAGTGTTGAGGAACAAAATGATTGTCATACACACTCTTAATAAAATTCTTAATACAAAGGAAAAATAAAATTTTCAAAATACCTTGATTTTTTTCTAAACCCCAAAATGACATTGCTTTTTTGGGTTGCACAAGATAACTTCATATCTTGTTGCAAGAGAAATATTTTTTCCTAAAAATATGTATAATTTCTTTGATTAAAGTTGATAAATATTTTTTACTAAATATTTATAACTAAAAAAAATCACAAAAAAAAAAAAAAAAAAAAAATCACAACAACAATCATAAATTCGGATATTGGTGTTTGATCCGGATATAATATAGGCCTAACCAGGGCCCAATAAACACATGAAAGCCCAAACTCATATAGGACCCAGAATAAAGGCATAAAGGGCAGGCACAGACGCGATAACCCTGTCGCGGTACACCAGCGCGATAACCCTATCGCGGCACACTAGCACGATGACCCTATCGCGTCCTACACGGCGCAATACCTCCTCACGACATGCAGGATGTACTTGTTCCCCACGCAACAGGATACCTTCTACATACTGTAAACTTAACCAAGGCAACACCACCGCACCCTCACACCAGTAAATTACGGACAGCTCCAGCTCGCTATGACTCTACTACTAGACACCATGGCGGCAAGCTCCTCAACATTTAAACACTGATAGCCACACTACGTTGGTAACAAGGAACCTTTGCCTTCACCATGAAGAAAGGCATCCTACAAGCATACATCTCGACTACTATATAAACATACGTTGTACCACTAAGGTACGATCATCCTTTACTTTCACAATATAAACACCTGCCTCTGATACTGACTTAAGCATCAGAGTGTCTTCGCAGGTAACCCCCCATCTGGAGCAACGTGAAGGACGAAGGACAAAGAGTTCAGGCTCATCCCCCAACAGCAATACCAGGCCCAGGCCAGTAACCTCCCAAAGAGTCTCAACCGTGTGTGATTTGGGCTTAATACGCATTGGGCCATCCCAACTGTATCTGGTCCGATCAGTGTTTAAACTCAAATTTAACATGCTCCCACTTCAAGATTAAATACAACTAAATAGTAAATACATTCAATACAAAATACAATAATAAATATGTAAAATCCACATACCTTCGACTTCACATTTTTTAAATACTAATAATAAAGAATATTTAAAGTGAAATTTGATTTTAAGTGAAAATTTAAAAAGTGTTTGGATATATCATATAACTGAAATTGGAAAAGTAAAATATATAATATTTTTCCTTTTATAATTTCATGATCATACCTTTTTCCTATTTTTATATAGGTCTACACAAAATCCAAATAAAGACAACTAAATGACGTGTTCCAATTTGTAATTGCAAATTAGTAAAAGCTTATGAATGTAATATCGCGAATTAAAGACAAGCTAGGTGATGTCGCATTTCCTAAGCTATGTGACAAGAAAAAGTTTAATTTATAAGATTCAAAATTTAGCACGTGAAATTGAAAAAGAAGGACAAGATTGGTAACCAAATAGCTAGGTTCATTTGTTCCACAAGCAAAAGAGAACATCCTACAAAGGATATGAAAGAACACCATTTTGGTAAATTAAAGTCGACCAACTTGGTCCCTATTTTAATACGACGCCCACATGAACCTCATTTAACCTTTCATCTTTTGAAAATCCAACCCCACCACCCTCTCTCTCTCACATCGCCCACAGAAAATACATGCAACTTGAAGCGAAGCTCCTTCTATTATATAACTCTAACTACAAACCCAACCAACCCCCCTCTCTTTCAAACCCAAAAAGATCCCTTCTTCTCAAAACTTCACTCACTTTCCTTTATCATTTATTTTTATTTTTATTTTTGAAAAAAAAAAAAAAAACTTCAAAACCTCATTAACACCATTCAAACTTAGAAATCATCATCTTCATAGTCATTATTCATTTATTCATCAACAACATAACAAGTTCAACAAAATGCCTCCAAATCCACCCAAGTCTTCTCTCCTCCTCCACAGGATCAACCCCGCCTGCGGCACCGCCGTCGCAAACTGCCACAACCTCCACGGCGGAGACACCATTCTCATGAATCCCGCCGCCACCATCCCCGACGCAGTGGCTCGCTACCACACCCACGCCGTCTCCCCCAACCAGTGCTGCTCCGCCGTGGTGCAGGAGATCGCCGCCTCCGTCTCCACCGTGTGGTCCGTCGTGCGACGCTTCGACAACCCGCAGGCCTACAAGCACTTCGTCAAGAGCTGCAACGTCATCGGCGGCGACGGAGACGTCGGCACCCTCCGTGAGGTCCACGTCATCTCCGGCCTCCCCGCCGCCCGGAGCACCGAACGCCTCGAGATCCTCGACGAGGAGCGGCATGTTCTCAGCTTCAGCGTCGTCGGTGGGGAACACAGGCTCGCCAACTACCGCTCCGTCACGACCCTCCACCCTACAGGCGACGGCGCCGGCACGGTGGTGGTGGAATCTTACGTCGTGGACGTGCCGCCGGGGAACACCAAGGAAGATACTTGCGTGTTCGTTGACACCATCGTTCGGTGCAACCTTCAGTCACTCGCGAAAACCGCAGAGAACTTAACGCAACGAAATAACAACAACAACATCAACGATTACAAGTGCTGTTCCTAATTTTTCTTTTTACAATTTTTGTTTTTGCATTTATAATTTATATAAATATAAAAATTGTTAATTTGTTATTATTACTAGATTGTTGATTGTATGAGTTGGTAGACAATCCGGTTTTATTGCAAAAAAATTTCTTTGCCACATTGAGTGTTCCATTGTAAAGAGATCCATCATTTTTATGTGGACGTGGAAGAGAAATTTTTTCTGTAGTAAAAACAGAAATATTTTTCTGTTTATTTATTTTTGTTTTCTTAATTTTAACTGAAAAAAGTGAAAAATAAAACTTGGGTTTCTGTAACAATGGTATAATCTTAGGTATCTTTGTAGTATATATATGTTTATGTCCATAGAATCAAAACCTAACTTGTTCAGATTTATAACCCATAAAAAATATTTTGTTGGATAACTATTGAATTAAAATAACAATGGTGACATAACGGTTGGTAATTCGTACATGCAATTAGTGTTAATGTGGGTGGGAATCTAACTGGGGCCTCCTCCTTTTATAAATCAATGTAGTGGAGATGGTGATATTACGAAGAGATTTGCACTAAGTATATATATATATATATATATATATATATGTGTTTGATAAATTGATTGATATGTGTAAGTTTATGTTGTTTGTGAATTGAGTAATTAATTTGTTTGATTGTATATAAAACTAGTGTTATATTATTATATATATGTCATGAATTACGTACAAGTTCCAGGCCACATGAAATATGGAGCATTTTTAAATAGGGTTTGCAAAAGTTAAGGCGAATATGACGATGACGATGACTATGATTGTCATACAATTTTCGGTATTGGTTATGTATTGGCTATGGCTGTGTCCTCACTTTCTCTCTTGCATACAAGCACAGCATACATCTTATAATACAAAAAATTAGTGGTATACGCATACATATTCTATAATGTAACTAAAATTTAGAAATAGTACAAAGCTATAATTATGCTTGCTAAGGAACATTTTAGAGAGATTTTTGTAGGAAATATAAAGCTAATCACTATTTAAAGTCAAACTTAATGACAATCTTTACTAATTAGAGTAATCATCCGGCAGTAGATTGATTAGGTTATTACAAATTAATCTGATATCTCGTGTATTGTTGTGGTGCATGCAAACTGAGAGTGATAGACTGAATGTGTAGCTTTAAAACGTCTTATTTTTTTATAAAGAAAAAGATAATATGATCCATTGATTGCGGAGTTTATTTCTTTTTGTTATAATATACTTTTTATTATAAATATTTTATCTTTATAATGTAATTTTTATTTGGGATAAGATATTATGTCTATTTTTTTTTTATGACTATTCTACCTACTCATCTCCAATATCGTTATATCAGAATCTCAACTAACTTTTATTTTCTCTCCTTACAAAATTATGATCCAACGGTGTTGAGAATGAATAGATAAAGTATGCATATAAAAAGGTAGGCACAATGTCCTATCTCTTCTTAGTATATCTAGACAGAAATAAAATAATATACCCTGTTAAAAGATTATTTTCTCTCGCTCAAATATATTTGCAATGTGACTTTTAAAATTTTACTTAGGTTTATAATATTGTAAAAAAGAAAGATGAATAGCGAGGACCTTGCCAGAAACAAAAAACAAAAAATGAAATGGTGTAACATATTGAAGAGTATATACTCTATATCTTCCAACCTGTCTTTAGCTGTAACATGAACTTATATTTAATTTTGATGATGTTTACTTCCCAAGTTGCAGTCCCCGTACATCAAAAGAAAGTAATTGTAAACAAAAATAAAATAAAATTGCAAGTTGCAGTATAATAATGGAAATGTTTAGGCTTGTTCAGACACTCAGTTTTATTTAAACTCAATTTTGTAGTTTTATTAATTTAATTCAATTTGCGCGTGAGAGAGATAAGCGAGACCCAACTACTGGAAAGAGAAAGAAATCAAATGAAAACGAAACATTGAAGCAATATCTAAATAGAGAGAAAAAAATGGGTAACATGTTTGTTTTGTTTGAATAGTACATCGTCGGTTTATGCAAGTTGGAGAGCAAGTGGGAGGGAAGAGACACGGGAAAAGAGAGGAGATAGGATATGCTCTTAATTATCCTCTCGGTGTGTACCACCCTTTTTGTTTGTCCACTTTTGGGGTTTTGAGTTGAACGTTGAATATTGAATATTGAATATTAAGTATATATAGGCGATCAAGTGGAAATATAAATATTAATATGAATGGACTGCCTTCAAATCTTGAAGAGAATTTCGGGATTAGAATTGAATTTGAAATTAATTAGGGTTGAATAATTGTCATGTTATTTATTCCAGATTAATCTTATATATGAAAAAATTACAATTCTTTTTTCTTGAGTTGCAGAATATTAGGAAACCTAACTTGCCTAACCAATAATTAGGATTATATAATAAAAAATTGGAAAAAAAAATACTTTTGCTTTGTTGTAGAAATATTTTTTCTGCCACATATATAATAGCGAGTCTCGTCGTCAAGTAGAGAAGAGAGAAAAAAATTAATAGAATCCACTCTTTTTCTCATGAATGTTACAAAAAGAAATTATGCAAAAATAACAAAAATATTAAACCCTACGTGAATCAATTGTTCCAACTTAAGCAATGGACACAAATTAGAGCCCTAGGTATATAATTATGCTAAAACTTGGGAGGGAAAGCTTTATCGTCATTGTAATCTTACCTGACTCAAATTCAGATTAGTTAGCGTCTGTTATATAGCGATCGAATACTGGATGATTTATAATATATATAAGGGATCTTTTGATTTCGGTGTAAGATTTAGAAGTTTTACTCCTCATCTTAACTGTTGATTTTCATATATACATCTATCAGTTATAGTTTATTGAGTTATACTAATTAATTTATTATTAATTACAAATAATAGACAACCGTTAGATGGATGAAAATGAACAGTTAGGATGAGAAGTAAGACTTCTAAGTCTTACACTAGAGTCAAAAGATCCCTCATCATATATAAATATATATACGGGGCACTTTTTCTGCTGTGCATGGCTTCAGAGAGATGCTATCTGCAGCTAACAAAAAAAAGTAGGCCACACTGCTTTTCTTAAAAAAAAAGTCAGGATATGGAACCGTATCCTAGAATCTGGGACTGTATCCTGGCTTGTTGTATGTGCAGCGGCTGCAAAAATGAGTTTGCCATATATATAGAGGGAGAAAAAAAAAATTCTCTAAGTTACTTGAGATATATTTATGGGACAGTGATTATTTTGCCACGTTTTGGCAAAAAAATTACCAGAATGCCACACGAACAGTAAAATTTTCCAAACTGCCACGCGACATAATTCGCTACACAGTGTAGCGAATTATGCATGCAAATATTTCGCTACATAGTGTAGCGAAATATGCCACGTCAGAACCAAAAAGTGCCATGTGTCAAAATTGTTGAAATTCGCTACCCTATGTAGCGAATTTCAACATTCTGACATATGGCACTTTTTGGTTTTGTGTATTCTGATGTGACATATTTCACTACACTGTGTAGCGAATTACTTGCATACATAATTCGCTACACTGTGTAGTGAATTATACCGCGTGGCAGTTTGGAAAATTTTACGTGGCATTCTGGTAATTTTTTTGCCAAAGCGTGGCATTTTGGTCACTCTCCCTATATTTATCTCTGATCAGTCCAAATTGTGTCATTTTGTTTATTTATTTCTTTATATTAATTGATTCATCATCTTTGAATGATTATAATTCCTATTTTCTCTCTTTCTTTATCACCATTGATCTATCTTTATACGGATATCATTTAAAGCCGAAGATATGAAATGCCTTTCTTCAAGTTTCATTCACCTTTCACGCCAACTTCTCCTCGTTCTCCTCCTCTCACTCTCTCTCTCTCGTCCATGTTCAGTTTATGGCTGCATGGCATGGCATGTCTTCGTTAACCTATTATTCTGAAATTGACCACACAAAACACAACTGATCATCCGGTCACTGACTCTGTCACTGTTCCAAGTACAAGTGCGAAACTTGAGTACTACCACTTGTTAAGGCCCATCCTTATATATATTATTTATTCCCTATTTACAATCATTTTATGAAACAGTAACTCACTGACTACCATCTTTCTCTTTTCTTTTTGGCTTTTCCGTTTACGAGAAGGAGTAAACTAACTTATTTTAGTCCAGAGGGTAAGTTGATAGATAGTAAGGTTCGGTGTATGCGATGAATATATCAGCTATGTGTGAACGGGTGAATGAGAGATATCTGAAGTATCTTTTTTTTGTTACTGTATATGTATTTGGGTTTAGTGCTTGTCATTTTAAAAGAGAGATAGACATAGAAAATGAAAATCATGGGAGAGAGAATCTGAGTGATTTTTTTTTAATTTAAAATTTAAATAAAAAAAATTATTCTGTGTCTATTTTTCTCTTAAAATGACATAATTTTATGTCATTTAAAATGACAAACATTTTTTCCTATGTATTTATAATACTTGTTCTAAGCATTTATAGAAGAGAGTCATGGAGCGATCGTGGTATTACTAGACAGTTATAAGGATCGTAGTATTAAATGAGCACGAAAGGATTGTGGATTTAAACCCACCATCCAGGCTTATGGCGTATGATCCCATAATTCGATCAAAATATCACTGTTTATCAAGTTTTTTACTTAAATGTCATGCAAACAGTGTTATTTTTCAATCTGTCATGAGGGCAAGTTCGCTACCTGGTATAGCGAACTCGGTTTGCTGACGTGTCACATTTATAGTGGATAACAAGTACATTTATAGTGGATAACAAGTACCAAGTTAAAAAAAAAAAAGAATATGGAATTCGCTAACCCGTGTAGCGAACTTGATATCCACTAGAAACGTGACACGTCAGCAAATCGAGTTCGCTACACCGGGTAGCGAACTTGCCCCCGTGACAGATTGAAAAATAACACTGTTCACGTGACATTTAGATAAAAAATTTAGTGAACAGTGACATTTTGATCACTGTTCTTAATTCGAAATTATAAA